CTCTTTTTTAAGTGTTCCTTGCTAACTGTATCTCAGTTTTTGCATTGGGCTTCCTGATTTTCCCCCTCTGTACCCAGCAATATGACCAAGCATCCATTTTTGTAAGATTCCTTTTTAAGTTTCAAGTCACTGAAGAGTTGACTGCTTAGCCAGGCCAGTCTCTTGGTTCCAAAGCTGCTCTTGGGCTTATAATATGGTCTCTTTAAAATACAACCAAAAGAGTTCAGCTCTCTCCAGAACTACTTTTTCCCCTCAGCCTTGCCTCTTCCTGTGATCCTGCCCACTACCTCCCTGACTCTGGACTTAGCAGGTTTTAGCAGACTCATTATTGTGCTGACCTCCTCCTCTAATTTCCTTAAAACCTTAAATAATATTATTTCTTTGTCACAGTCACCCTACTTGTCTTCTACCTTCAAATTCTCAACTAACTCTCCTTACCCACGAGCATTAAGTCAAGAGCTGACTCTTCACTATTAAATTCCTTTGCTGGCTTTTCCACTTTCAGTACAGAAAAGTTATCCCAAATATACTCCAAAAACTAAATGAACTACCTGGGCACTGCTATATTACCCTCTTAATAATGAGCAGAAACGTAGGTAGTCATGTTAGTACTAAGTCAGACAGAAGGCAGAGTAGAGATACTCCTTATAGCCAACTCTGTGCACTTCCTTTCATAGCATCTCATGAAGTGAACTCTTTTCCACAAAAGTTTATGCATCTTTTATTCAGTTAGTCTATAAAAGGTACATCAAAATTCTGCCTCCTCCTAACATCACAGTAATTAAAGTCCCTTATTAACACCAGGTTTTGTGATTTGTGTACTTTAGTTAGTTTGAAAAACAGCCTCATCCACCTCCTCCCCCTACTTTGGTGGTTTATAGCAAACACTCACTAGGCGTGTTTACACATGTATTAAGATGCTTTTTCTAATACGCAGTAAATTTAATACCTACAAGGTGAGGTACTAAAGAAATGTGCATTAGGCTGCCTTAATGCATGGTGACACACGTGCACAGTTTTTAAGTGACACAATGCACAGTAGCCAGTTTTTAATCATACAGTTTTTTTATATGACACTTCAATGCACAGTAAAATAAGCTACTGCGCAGTAAAGTGCACATGTAGACGCGCCCACTATGGACCTTTTACCTTTACCCAGAGACTTGCAACTAATCTACTTCCAACTTCTTACTGTACCTCAAAAACATTTAAAGAAAAAAAAAAAAAAACTTCAGTCATCTCTATGCTGATGACTCAGATCTATTTCTACTCCAGAGGTGTCCCCTTCTGCGCAAATTAAAATCACATATCATCTATCTATATGACCTCTCCTTGTGGATGCCTAGCCATCAGGGTGAATTTAGCATGGCTAAAATAGAGATCCTGATATCCATACAGCATCTGAGATACCTGCTTTCTCCATATTTAGATATCAACACCATACTGCCTGTTATTCACACCCAGTGACACTTAACCTTTGGCTCTACATCCTCTGGCTGGGAACTTTCCTAGGTATTGGCATGTAAATGATATGTAGATCTAGTGGATTCTTTTTTCTAAATATCTCAGATGTCGTTTCTCCTTACCCACACATCTGAGATTCTGTTTCAGGCTCGTTTAATTAAAGCAATCCAGTCTTGCACACATCCATCCCAAATGCTGCTGCTTCCATGATTTTTTAGACCACGATTTAAATTTTATCATCCCATTTTTTTCACCCTTCCACTGGCTCCTTCTACAGCTAAAGCCAGGGTCCTGTGAGATCCTTTTAAAAGGTGCTACAGGGTGTCATTCAACATTAGCACTTTTAGATGCACAAACACCTACACATGATTCACAAGATAAACCCCAAAGATTTCAAATAGGAATCAAGTGCCCAAAACTTTCTGACCTATTGCCATCTTTCTTGGTTTCTGCTGAACTGCCCTATTTTTTTTTTTTGTATTCAAGAAGTTATTAACAGCTAAAACTTGGCATTTTTTTTTTGAGGGCTGCCTGGAGTCTAAAAAGGTTGAGAACCACTGCACTGAAGGACTGTCATTTGAATTCATGTAAGTGCTCCAATACAGACGTATCTGATAAGAACAAATAGAGCCATTCATAAGCTGTCACTAGAAATTCCATGAATTTCTTTCATTCAGCATTACAAGCTCAACTCACAACATCAAGTGGTTTTTTAAAACAGGCACGTTTCCCCTTTCTCCAATGCTACTTCTAAAGCTTAGAAGAAGCCTCCCATAAATATCTACAATGCCACAACACTGGTCTCCTTAAAACTATCCTTTGCTGTAAGGACTAAAAACAGTATTTAGTGGTTAGGCTACTGATGTGCTGAATCCACAACCTATCACAATGAACCATGGTGCCTCCATTTCTTTAGATTCCCAGGGTCCCTTGACCATCTGTTGTTGCACTTTGCCTTCTACCTAGGATATAAGCTCTTTAGAATAGACAGCATCTTCCTGTTCTGCTTTTGCAGCACACCTGGCACAGTGGTGTCCTGGCCCATGACTCAGGCTTATAGACATATTGGTAGTAGAAATATCATTACCATCATGTTTAACAAACAGTATAAATGAAAGAAAATTGGCACCTACAGAGGCCCGAAATCATACAACAGTGATTTGATTTTCCAAGTAAATAGGCATTTAGGCATTACCTTCATTTTCCCACTGTATTTTGGATCAGAAATAGTTTCAAAGGCTGCATCATTGCTTAACTGAACAAAATCAGGAAACTTGGAAAACACCTGGTTGCAAACCCGTTTGATATGTGTTTTCTAAAAGCAAAGCAGAAAATGGATGAGCACAAACAAGAGAAACAGACTTCTGCATTAAACTATCTCTAGTACTATCATAGTCTGTAAGATTGAAACAGACTAAAATAAAACCGGCAGGGGAAAATATTTAAGTCATTTGTACCCAATGAGAGATGCTCTAATACAGCATCATCTGTTAAGAATAAGCTAAAACCCCAAGTGCTGTTTTCAAAAGGAGTAAGTAGCTCCATATTGCAAATCAGGAGTGTATTAACTAGAATCTGTCTGAACATTACTAGGCATCTTTTCTTTACAAAAGTAAAGCATTCTGCCTTATTCTGAAAAAATACCAACAGTGGACGTTGGCATTATGTAAATAAAGAGGCAGCACTGCAAAGTTCTGGTTCCCTGATGGAGAAGGTCCATTACCTCAAGATTTTGGGAAGGCTCAAAAGATAATAGGACTACTGACAGCACCTCAGCCCAATTTTTTAAGGCTTATTATTTGCACACCGTATGGTTGGAGCAAGTCTAAACACAAACATCCTGTCCAAAAGGAATTATGAAAAGTAAAAGATACAAAATGTAGGATACACAGGGAAGTACAAAGAGATTAGGACACTAATAATAATAAATGAATTATAATATCAGTTGTTGTGGGTACTGAAGGTGAAATATTCTTTAAGAAGTATATCAGAGGGAATTAACACACCCAGATCTTTTATTCATTCAGGATTTTAATGATAAATTTTGCATCATTTTTTAAAACTGGTTCTATGTATACCACTGCCTTCAGTCAGAGGAAATAAAGTGAATTCAAGAAAATGGCTGTGTATGCCAACACCAGCTTCTTGGGTTTTTTTCCTCCCTCAACAAAGGGAGACCCACCCTTGTTAAATTGTTTTCACAAACAAAACCAAATTACTAGGAACTACCTACATTATTATTAGCTATAACAATGAAAGTACTTACTTACTTCAATACAGTTTCCCTGTGTCATCAGAATTCATTTTTTAAAAGTTATTCATCACTAATGCTGTGTGATGTCTCTAGTCACTATTGAAAGTCACTGAAAAAGGGCCCCATTCTGTGCTACTGAAGTCAGTGTGTGTTTTACCACAGAACTGTATGGGACCAGGATCAGACTAAGCAACTAAACAAAGCACCTTAATTCCAGCTAGCTTGTTGAGCAAAACAGTTACAAGGCAACAAGAATATGAGGCTAAAATAAAGGTAAAGAGTAGAGGCTAGTCACAATTAACGGTAGCTACTATAGTAAGACATTTTACTAAATCGGTTTCCTTCTACATTTTTTCCATAGCTTTGCTCTTTTGGCACATTCAGAAACCAACCTGCTGTTTACTGGTGTTTTCTGTCTGTAACAGGGCAGCATGATTAGCAACCTTTCGAAGGATTGTCAGATAACTGAAATAAAGTGCCTTCATAGTTTCACCATGGGAATTTGTCTGTAAAAAAAAGCGCCACAAGAGATATTTTTTTTAGAAGTACCAGCACATTAGAAAAATATAAGCATCCCAAAACAAAGCAGATCCTAACAAGTGAAATGTAGAAATGTTACAATCAATTTCAATTTGAATTAGCATCATAGCCATCTGAGTGATGCCCTACCCAACAACTGCTACTATGGCTCAAGTTTCGAGATACTAAAGATATTTTACAAGCACACAAGTATCATAATCAAAGTAATTTGAAACATCTACAAAATATGTATTTCTACTGCAGCATCAATAACATCAGATAAAAATAGATGGAGTTAGTACATGCATTTTCATTTATGTCTTCATGTTAAGTATGTAAGGAACATCTTATATAGCTTGATATTTTTATTCCACTTACAAGTGTTATTCAATTCCATTTATTGATAGATACTAGATTTGCAATTTCAACTCGATTTGAATGTCATCTGTGTGTTACATAGTAATTTCATAGTTTTTTCTGTATATAGAATATAACTTTTCTTTGTTCTTTTCTTTAAATTGAATTTTGTAGTTCTCAAAACTAGTTTTCCTTACCCAGTAGTTTTTGTAGGTAGTGTACTTGTTACAGAAAGCTGTTATTATTTATACAGGCATACCTTGGAGATATTGCGGGTTCGGTTCGAGACCACCGCAATAAAGCGAATATTGCAATAAAGCGAGTCA